TTTTAAAAATCTCACCTGATTAGGTCAAAGCAACCCATGCTAATCTTTCTTATGATTAACTTGACATTAAATGATTAAGTACCTTAATTACTTCTTCAAAATCCCTTCACATTTGCCACATAACATAATATAATCATGAGTGTAATATCCTATCATATTCATAGGTCCTGCCTACACTGGAGAGGAGGGGATCATACAGGGTATGTATACCAGGGAGTGGGTATCTTGGGTTTGATCTGAGAATTCTGCTTATCACAGGTAATATTGAAGGTATCTGTAACTCAAGTGGACTTTGATAGATTATGTCTTCTAAGGAATTTATCCATTTACTTAAATTGTGAATTTATAGACATAAAATCATTTATGATATTTCCTTATTTTCCTTTTAAAATCTGCAGGCTCTGTAGTGAAGACACCACTTTTATTCTTGATATTGAAATTTGCGTCTGCTTTGTTTTTAATGTTCACTCTGATTAGAGATTTAGCAATTTTACTTTCCAAGACCAACTTTTAACTTCATTCATTTTTCTCTGTTTCTCTAATTTTAATTTCATTGATCTCTGTTGTTGTTTTTTTTATGTACTTCCTCTGCTTTGGGGTTAAATTTGCTTCTTTTTTAGTGTGTTAAGTTAGAAGCACACATTATTGATTTGAAAATATTCTTTTATATAGGTTTATATAAGCTTATACAAATATTCAATGCTCTATATTTTCTTCCAAGCCTCCCTCATGTGTAGGATAAGAACCTTACATATTATTTTATATATTTTATAAATTTATATATTTTATATTCATTTATTTAATTATATTTTTAAATACCCCTTGGGATTTCTCTTTAACCCGTGTTTTATTTTGAAGTGTGTTAATTCCCAAGTATTTGGTGATTTTCTACTATCATTCTGTTATTGATTTCTAGTTTAATTGCATTATTGCCAGAGAACATACTTTGTATTACTCCAGTTCTTTAAATCTATTAGAATTTGTTTTATGGGGCCGAGCCCGTGGCGCACTCGGGAGAGGGCAGCGCTGGGAGCGCAGTAGCGCTCTCGCCGCGGGTTCGGATCCTATATAGGGATGACTGGTGCACTCACAGCGCTCACTGGCTGAGTGCGGTGCAGCCAGTCTCAAAAAGGACAAAAAAAAAAGAATTTGTTTTATGGCCCAGTATGTGATCTATTTTTGATGAGTGTCTTATGGGCGTTTTAAAAGACTGTGTATCTGGCTGTCATTAGATGAAGTATTCAATAAATATCAGTTAAATCATGCTGCTTTATGGTGGTGTTCAGTTCTGTATCCTTGCTGATTTTCATTCTAGTGGTTCTAGAAATTATTGACAGGGGGAATCAACTAAAATTGTGAATGTTTTAAGTGTTTCTTTCAATTCTATCAGTTTTGCTATATATATTTCAATGCTATGTGGTTTGGTACATACATTTAGGATTATTATGTATTCTTGGTGAATTGACCCTTTTATCGTTACATAATTTATATACAAAATAAATATATTTTATGTATCATTATATAAATATAAAATATATTGTTATATATTTTATATTTAAAATATATTGCTATATATTATATAAAATATATTATTATATATTTACACCATTTACATTTAATGTAATTATGGATGTTAGGATTTATTTCCAATTTATTATGGTCCATTGTGTGTTGCTTCTGTTTTTTCATTCCTCTGTTCTACTTTTCCTGTCTTCCTTTCCATTTCTTGAACATTTTTAGTATTCCATTTAATTTACGTACACTGGGGCTTTTGGTTCAGCTTTATTGAGATATAAGTCACATACCATACACCTGTTTAAAGTGTAAAATTCAAGGCCGGCTAGTTAGCTCAGTTGGTTAGGGCATGTGGCTGATAACATCAAGGCCCAGGGTGTTACCCCACAAAGAAACCCGATGCCCTTTAGCTATGACCCCTCAATTCCACCCCCTTCAGGTCCTCAGCAACCACTAATCTACTTTCTGTCTCTGTAGATATGCCTGTGCCAGACATTTCACATAAATGAAATCATACAATATGTCCTGTTTTTTGCTGGCTTTTTTCACTTCGCATAATGTTTTCAAAGTTCATCCATGTATTAGACCTTCATTCCTTTTGCTGAGTAATATTCCACTGTAGTGATATACAACATTTTGTTTATTCATTCATCAGTTAATGAACAGTTTATGGATACTTGCACTATTTCCACCTTTGGACTATTGTGAATAATACTGCTATGGGCATTTGTGTACCAGTTTTTGTGTGGACATGTTTCATTTCTCTTGGATGTATACTGAGAATAGGATGGCTGGGTCAAATGGTTACTCTATATTTAATGTTTCGAGGAGCTGCCAGACTATTTTCCAAAGTGGCTATACCATTTTATGTTCCCACCAGCAGTATATGAGGGTTTTGATTTCTCCATGTCCTCATTAATACTTGTTATATATATGTTTTTTATTATAACCATCCTAATATATGTGAACGAGTGTCTCATGGTGTTTTTAAATAAATCTCTTTGTATAGTTTGTTTTGCTGGGGTTTTTTTGTTTGTTTTTCTGTGTGTGTGTGTGTGTGTGTGTGTGTGTGTGTGTGTGTGTGTGTGTGTGTGAGAGAGAGAGAGAGAGAGAGAGATTGCTTTAGGGATTAGAATATGCATACTTATACTATCACAGTACCACTTCAAGTGCAATGTGGAGGGGAGGCCTTACCACTACTTAGGTCCCTTTACTCTCCTTTTTGATATTGTTATCTTAAAAATAACCTCTACATAAATTAAGAACCACATCAAACAATATTGTAGCTTTTGCTTTCAACCATCAGAACATCATTTTAAAAACTAAAGAGAAGAACAGTCTAAGTCTATTATATCTCTCAGATATTCACTATTCAGTTTCTCTTTTTTTATTCCTGGTGTTCCAGAGTTTTTTGTTTGTTTGTTTGTTTGTTTTTCTTTTTGTTAGAAGAGCTTTCTTTACTAATTGTATTAGAGTTGGTCTATTCAGTTTCTCTTTTTTTATTCCTGGTGTTCCAGAGTTTTTTGTTTGTTTGTTTGTTTGTTTGTTTTTCTTTTTGTTAGAAGAGCTTTCTTTACTAATTGTATTAGAGTTGGTCTGCTGACCTCAGATTCTGTTGGTTTCTTCTTCTGAGATATCTTTATTTCACCTTCAGGATATTTTTACTGGTATAGAATTCTGGGTTGACAGTTCTTTTTTTCCCCCCAGTGCTTGAAAAATGTTGTGCTACTGCCTTCAGTCCTCCATGTTTTCTGATGAGAAATAGACTGCCAATTGAATTACTATTCCCCTATAGATAATTTATTGTTTCTGTATGGCTGCTTTCATGATTTTTTTCTTTATCTTTAGTTTCAGAAATTTGATTTGATTGACTGAACATGGATTGCTTTGGGTTTATTCTATTTGAGCTTTGCTCAGCTTCTTAAATCTGTGGGTTTATGTCTTTCACCAAATAGGGGCCATTTTTAACCATTATTCCTTCAACTGTGTTTTAGCCCTTCACTTTTTATTCCCTTTCTGAAACTCTGATGTTTTTATTGTCTCACAGGACCCTGAGATTCTGTTGATTCTTTTTGTTTCTATCTTTTCTATCTGTTATTCAGATTGAATAATTTCTATTGGTCTATCATTAGTTCACTGATTCTTTCCTCTGTCATTTCCACTCTGCTATTGAGCCTATTCAGTGAGGTTTTTATTTTGATTATTTTATTTTTTTATTTATTTCTTTATTAAATATTTATTATTTGTTTGGTTCATCTTTATATTTTCTCTTTCTTTGCTGAGACTTTGTATTTTTCCATTTATTTCAAGAGTGTTTACAATTGATTATTGGAGCATTTTTATCATAGTTGCTTTAAAATCCTTGCTAGATAACTCAAATATCTGTGTTATCTCAGCGTTGGTGGCTGTTCATTATCTTTTCTTGTTTAAGTTAATATTTTCCTGGCTCTTGAATTGTCTAGGAATTTGGGATATCTTTTTGACATTCTGTGTATTATGTTATGAGACTCTGGATCCTATTTAAATATCCTCTTTTAATAGACTGACAATCTGTTTAGGTTTAGAATGAACATTCTGTTTCAAATTTATGGACTATGGTTCAAATGTCAAGTTAGTTTTCAGAGTTCTTGCAGGGCTGTTCTCGTCTGCCCCACTTCTGTGATACCCAGGCCAATTTAGAACCTAGGCCGTATTCCACTCAAGTTCAATTGTTAGAGCTTTTGTTATTTTGATTCTGATTAGTTTTACACATGGGCTGCCCAGAAGCTCCTACAACTTCATATATCAATTTAAAGAATTCCTTTGTCCAGCTTTTTCCTCTAATCCTCCTCTACTTCCTAATTGGGAAGGGGTAACACCATCTCATTGCTGTTCTTTGCTTAATGCAAGGTATGAGGTTTGACAAAATCTTCATGGAAGTTACCACTAGATTGTTCCTCAAGTTCCAAAGTCCCTAGTCAGTCTTCCTTTTCTTCTCTACCCTTCATTTAGTCTGCCCAAGTTTTTTAGGTGTAATTAGCCAGAGGATCAAGATACTATACATTTGCTCCATCTTGTCTAGAACAGGAAACCAACCATGATTTATTTTTATATCACTCATAAAGACATACCACAATGTCTAGTGTATAGTCAGCACTAAATAAGTATCTGTTGACAAAAGAAGGAATGAGGGAGGAATATAATATAGCTCCATATCTCTAAATGTTAATTCAGCATAACATAATAAAGAATACGGTCATGAGTCAGTTTGAATTTTAGCTGCACCACCTACTTTCAGTGTGAATGTAGACAGGTTACTTAACTTCTCTGAGCCTAAGTTTCTGTAATACAGGAATGGCAATATCTCCCTATAGGAGAAAGTGAGAATAAGATAATATATTTAATGCATTTAGCATAGTACTTGATAATAAACACTTAGTAAATGTTCCTACTTATATTAGTAATAACAATTATCAAATATCACTATCTGTTTCTTATATTTTTAGGAAACCCTGCTCTTAAAGACAAAGAAGATCAATTTGGGAGAACACCACTTATGTATTGTGTGTTGGCTGACAGATTGGATTGTGCAGATACTCTCCTGAAGGCAGGAGCAGATGTTAATAAAACTGACCATAGCCAGAGAACAGCCCTCCATCTTGCAGCTCAAAAGGTAAGAAGTGAAATTTCCTTGAAGAGTAAATGTTTTCTGTGGTATTTGTTAGTTAATTAGTGGAACTATGCGATGGACAGACAGTAAGGAAATCTCAGGTTTTATATGTTTTCTTTAAAAGCAATCCTCAAGATGTAGAGAGTAAAGCACAGATAACCATCAGTGGCTACATTCACTTACCTAGGTTCCTTGAGCAATGGAATTTATTCTATGATCTAAGGTTTAATGGAAAAACAAGGATCAAAATTATATGTACAATCTGATTAAACTATATTACAAACCAATTTATGTATAGGGAAAAAATAAAGACAAAAAGAAATACACAAAGGATGTTAATAGTTGTTGGGCTTAAATATTGGGGATACATAATAGTTTATTAAAAATTTTTTCCTTTAGGAATATTACTTTTACAGTAAAAAGTTACAATCTCTCTTGATATATCTGGCATTATGGAACATAAGAGAATTTTTAATTCTCTTTTTAATGTATATTAAAACATTTTTAAAATATGAAACTGTATTGCCAATATCAATGATTTCAGGTTTTTAAAGGCATTGTCAGACTTAAGATCAAACACATCAAGGGCTGGCCAGTTAGCTCAGTTGGTTGGAGTATGGTGTTGTAACACCAAGGTCAAGGGTTCAGATCCCCACCAAAAGAAAAAAAAAGACACAAAAAAACAAAAAACAACCCCTGCATTCTTAAATGGTAAGCTTCTAAATTTATTTATCTAAATTTATTTAAATTTCCTTAAAGACTTATTCACCTAAGAACTATTTTTCCTTCATATAATTTTTGCCTATAAAATATATTTCCAGTTCCTGGTATTTTTCTTTTTGTTATTTTAGAATTCTGTATTTTTGGAATAAAAAGCAATGAAAATGAGTTAGATCCAGCAGAAACTATTAAAGTTATTTTCCATTAAAAAATGTGAACCAGATATAGCTGTTTAATTGAGGGGTTAGAAAAATACCTTTTCATTAGTTGATTGCATAAAAAGAGGCTGACATTAAGATATACTACTGAATATGCTAGTTATATGCTCTTATCAGTTAGGTCTCTCAGGTTATTTTCAAAGTTAGTTCTCTTGAATTTGCTTTTTATTATAGTAATTTTTTTAAATCTCCCTCATTTTCAATCTCAGTTTTAACTGTTCAAGTACTTATAACCTTTCACCAAGGCTTGTCAGCTGATAAAATTATTCACTCAGGAAGGGTAACTCCATTTTACTTGTTACCATAAAAAAGTAAATAGTTTAGATTGAGAATATTCCCAATATTATGGATTTGATAACCTTTAGATTTTTAATTGTGAATTGTGATTTATTTATGTGTAAAACTTCAAAAATATTGGTTGGAGGAACTTAAAATTAAGTAGATTATGTGGGAAAAAACGAGGGATTTCAGGTAATGATCCAGCAGTATGACATCTTTCTAAAGGTATAATATGACCAAAATGGTTGAAAGAATGGGAGTATACAACTGGATATTAGCTATAATAAGCCTTTTTATAAGATGCAGTGCATTGTTTTTTTTGCTTTTTGTTTCAACTATAATTTTTTAAATTACGAGTTTTCTTACAGAGTCAAAGAATTTTTTATTCTATTTGAACTGAGATTCATATATCAGAATTTACATAGTTGATTTCATAGTAACAAGTTTCTTATTCTTTCAAGTATCTGATATTTACACATTTACCCCTTTCTGTGTGTTGCTGTTTGTTTTAACAAGCTTGCCAAAAGCAGTAATATACCTTTAGGGTATATTAGCACTAGTAGAATTTCCAGAACAAGGGTGTAATAATTCTTTAGTACTCTGCTCTGTCCAGTTAAACCTGGGTGTTGTGTTTGGTTTTGAACTTTATACAAAGCAGAATTATGAATAAATCAGAGATAGTATAGACCAGCCAGGAATAAGACAGTGAATAACCTAGAAAAGACTTTTAAAGAATAGTTGGAGATGATATGTCCCAGGTCTGTAATACAATCTGCGTCTGAGCAGACATAAACACAAATTCTCTTTAGAGAAAACATCCTTACCTCAAACTTCCAGGATTTCCCCGTATTAAAACAAAGCAAACAATAAAAGATAACCAAACACATAAGGAAGCAATCTACCATGAGAGTCAGCAGTAACAATAAACATCTAGTCTATGAAAAACATCAGATATTGGCATTACTAGAGTTACAGTATAAAATAATCACTGATGGAATGTTTAAAGATATAAAAGAAAGACTCAGAAGAGTGAGAAACCAACAAGAGACTTTCATGACTAAGTATCAGTTCTGGCAATGACACTTATTTTGGACTAACCCCCCTGCCAAAAACATATATAGAAACTGAATGAAATACATATACTGTTTGAAGGTACGGAGAACAATCAGCATGGGCAGTATCTAAGAGACTACAATTATTCAGAGAAAGGAAGCAAGTGAAGTGAGAACCACCTCATTTTTCCTTTGAGGCTTTTTCCTTGAAGGCATTTTCCAAATTTGAATGCAAAAGAATAAAACCCTAACAGGAAGTAGCGGTCTTACTAGGCTGAAAAAAACCAAAGTAGAGTTTGGAGCTACTAGTGGCTTGTACTTGAAAGGCAAAATCCTGGAGAGGAAGGAACTGCAGAGAAGGAACCCAAGAATCTGGATATGAATTCTTCACAAGTGATTAGCAGATTCCAAGACTGTGCTTGTACAGGGTGGAGCTCCAAGAAACCCAGCAGTAAACAACAGCTGGGGGACTAAAGAGCTGAGCAGAAATTGTTTTTAAATTATCGTATATTTTCTTTCACATTTAAGTCTTTTAATACATAACAAATTGATTTTTGTATAGGGATTTATTCTCATTTAAAACATATGGAAAACTAATTTTCCCGGCACAACCTAGCTCATTAATTTTCAGCCATTTAGTAACTGCTGTGTTCTAGTGCCAGGTTGTAATACATATTCCCTATGCATTTTTTTTTTTTTTTTTTTTACTTTAATGAAGGGTCCCGAATACTAGGGAGCCATCCAGGAAAATGAGAGTTACATGATAAAGTACTTTAGGTGGACTAACATGGCAACCCAAGTGACTTTGAAAGAAGAGAGTGGAGATACATAGAAAGCTATATAGTTCAGGCCAATGGAGAGGACTTGGATCCAAAAGATATACTGTGGAGGTAGAAATATTTTTCCTTTTTTTTTTTTTTTTTTTTTACTTTAATGAAGGGTCCCGAATACTAGGGAGCCATCCAGGAAAATGAGAGTTACATGATAAAGTACTTTAGGTGGACTAACATGGCAACCCAAGTGACTTTGAAAGAAGAGAGTGGAGATACATAGAAAGCTATATAGTTCAGGCCAATGGAGAGGACTTGGATCCAAAAGATATACTGTGGAGGTAGAAATACTCATTCAACAAGTATTTGCTAAATGTCTACCATGAAGTCATGATTATAGACCTAGAAAGACTATGAAAAAATAAATCACATGCTTGTATGTCTGCTATAGATAGGTGTTCTCAGTACCTATCCCTATTAAACTTCATTATCCTTTGTTCAGTGAGCCTTTCTGGTATATTTATTGAATATCAAATATTCTTATAAAGCATTGTCCATCCCACTTAATTCTGATGTCTGTGACTCGTAGTGTGTTATTTTCATAATCATCAGTATTCCTGTCCATATATCTTTATTCATTCATTCAACATATGTTAAAACTACTACATAACAGGTACTGTGTTAGGCCTTGGAATACAAAGATGAATACAAACTACTGCATACTGGTACTGTGTTAGGCCTTGGAATACAAAGATGAATACAAACTACTGCATACTGGTACTGTGTTAGGCCTTGGAATACAAAGATGAACATGATTGCTGCTTTTAAGTTGCTAACTTAAAAGATAAAGATATTAAATGATAAAGCTGGCCCATCTACCTTAAGATATGTAACAATACATTTTTATGAAATATCAACAGCCATAATATGTAAATACTGCAGTCATTGTTATTGATGAGAAGATCAACCATTGTTGTATGTTATTTATTAAGTTTTGGGGTTTTGGGTTTTTTTGTGTGATAGTGAACTATATTGTGTTATCTTTCCTTAGGTTTATTAGCGGGGAAAACCCATGTTCCCAAACTATTTTGTTCATGTGTCTATGGGAACCCCATTACCTTGTACTGTAATTATTGCTTACTTGTCTCTTTTTCCACTACACTAGAACTATAGGCAAGACTCTTGTTTTATTTCTTTTTGAATCCCCCTGAATCTAGCACAGTGTCTGACATGTCTTGGTTGAATAAATTTTATGCAGTTTATATAGAAAGTCATTATTAATATAAATGGTAGACATTTTGTTTACTAGAAACATTTATCCAGTTTCAAAATACATATATGTAGAAAACTTATTGAACCGTGCTGTTTGGCTTAGTTATTTTGACACACATTCACTTCTCTGGAAACAAATTGCTGTTAGTCTAAGCAGCTGAGGAAATGGTACCCATGAGAATAAAATTAATCTCAATATACTAAACATCTGTACCTAATTTGTTTTTCATTTAGTAACTTCAGTTTAATCCAAGAAAGCAATTGGTCATACCTTTTCTGGGCTTCTCACAAAAGATATCTAATTCTTAGAAATGTTTTGCTCCAGGGCGGCTACTATTTCTCTGACTTCCACAGATACATTTGTCTGTTAATAAGGATTTTTAAAAAGCTTTAGAAATCTTACTAAGTGTTAATAGTTATGCATTTTTAATCTTCTAGGAGGTTATTACTTTGACTTCAAGAAGATTAAGACTACCCACTTTGAAAAATTATATTATGTTAAAAACAAAAATTAAAAAGCACCAGTTTGTAGCTGTGTTGTGCTTTTTTTTTTAATTCACAGACAATTCTCAGTTTATGAAAACTGAATGTTAATTTTCTGTTTTCAAGATATGCTGTTTCCATGTTAATGATTTACAAAAAGTAAAAGAGGGTAGAATACCTCTGAAACTTTTCAGGAAAACTTATAACAG